GGATCGGCGGATTCCCTCTGGGGACTTGCGGCCGCTCGACGGGCTCTCCGGTCTCTACGGAGGAGTTTTTCGTCCCAGTGATCCACTTACCATTTCCCACTCGCGACTTCGCCTCGCCGATTCTGTCCGATTTCTGGGACGCCTCTTAATCGCGGACGCCTCGCGGAAATTTCGAGTTCCGCACAGGAGCTCGATTTACGATCCTCCGTCGACAACGGGGTTGCGGGAAATCGTGCGAGACGAGAGACGGATGCTCTGGCTCTGATGAAATTGCGATTAATCGACCGGGCAACGACCGTGGTGAAAATCGAAGGATGTGGATTACCCGAAGGATGCCGAGGAGAGATGGAAAAATCGGCTCAATCACGGAAAAAAAAAACGAATAGTTTAGAAAACCATAATTGTGATAAACGTAACCATGTTGCAAGGCAATGTATGAGATCACCTTCCTAGACGGCTAGAGAAACCAAAGTAACGCAATAGTAGAAGATGATAACGTGTACTTCACTGTTTAACCGTTTGAGTCCTAGGGGGTATTGAAAAAACACTGTCGAAGAATCCCGAACAGCGCAACCGCGCTTTCTCTAAATGAGTACGAGAAGACCCAAACAACGCGATAGCGCTTTGTTTATTTTATGTCGATGGATCCCACTCGGCGCGATAGCGTTTCTTGAATTGTAAGATGTATTATTTACACCCTTGCATTACGATTTAAATTCCAATAGCGCGTGCCATAAACAACAAAAGTGTCGGTCATACATCGGCCCATTTCACGGTTTGGCTGAACGTAACTTCTCATACGGTTTGTTTACATTTGGCCCGATTGACATACCACGTCTCTTACACGTTTTGTTCACGTTTGGCCCGATTGATTTACCACCTCTCTCACACGATATTGTAAGTTAAGAGGTTAAAAGGAGCTGTGTAATGTACTTGGGTCAGTGAATCTGAGCGACTTTGACAATCGGTGACGCACCGTCAGTTGTCCACAACGCTCGAAATGTGCTGGGTTTTCTCGACATAAAATCTGAACAGCGCAATCGCGCTGCCTGGGACTCAAACGGTTAATCAAGGTGATTACAAGGTACTATTCGATTTTACGTTATGCTTGTTGCAACTTCATTGCATAGTTAATATTACCATTCCAAATGGTAGTCGCTACTTTGTAGCGTAGCATCATGGATACCGTAACTATTGACAAGGTTACATTTACCATTAGGTGTAATTAGATTCATCATCTGTGTGGTTCGTATTGTAGAAATGTTTTAGTCATGGCGATGTAGTAATTGTGACCAAATTATTTGTTTACATCACGGTGGAAGAACGAAGAGGACCCAGAAGAAGGTACCGGCGCTAGGAAGCTGCGATGGAAATGGACGAAGTGGTGTCTTTACTCGCAGGGAAACCGAGAACGATTTTATGTCATGGCGGAACAATGCACCATGAGGAAACAAGATCGCTCGGTCGGATAGTCGCGCGATGCCCGCGAGTACTCGCGAGTAATCGCAAGTACGGCGGAAAGGAGCCTGGAGATGGGAGCAAAAAGGAGCACGACCTCTTGATTTTACACGATCCACGCTCGGAAGGATCTACGGGAGCGATCTGGGATCTAGGACCGTAAGCGCGAGTCTGACATCGAGATTATCGGCCGATAGTTGAGCAGTGATACCGCGAAGAGTCGCGTCCTCCCGACTCGGATTCGTCAAGATAAAGCCAGGATGGATCCTCCCTCGTAGCCTTATCAACCGGAGGGACCATCTTCGGGATCAGGTCTCGAGATCCCGAACGAGAAGAAAAAATATCCCCGAAAAAAGAAAGTATTCACACTTGTAACAAAGGACAGCATTACCGATAATGTATTTCTCTTCCAGGAGGAAGTAATCGTTTTTTTTTTTATTTCGGGGTCAAGATAGCAAAAATGTTGCTGGCCCTTTTTCAAGTGTTCGCATTGTCACATTTCTTCTTATGGTCTATTGTATGTTATATTCTTTTTCTGCGTGCATGTGACCATCCCCCATGGATGCACGTGTCCTCTGAAAATCCAAGTGCACGTATGTCCTCACACGCGACGCTCTTCAGAGGCCACTTCTTCAAAGAGAGATCTCGGCTTTCAAATTCTCAAAAAGGAAGAGTAATAAGGAGGGATGCCGGATGCATCGGCGCGAGGATGCACCGGTGCATCCGATGCGCCGGTTCAGCGACCCGCAGGATCGGCAACCCCAGGGATGCGCCCATTGTCGACGGGAGGGGGTCCACATACAAAGGAACCCGTATGAACCCATATAAACCCATATGAGTCGAGCCCATGCACCGTGTCGCTGCTCGACGCGGAACAGAAACGAACCGACGAGCATAATTCAGATGAAATTCGCTCCGAGCATTGTTCGCTCATCGCCGCGGCCAGACGGCACTTATTGCCATAATTGATTCACCGTGCACCAAGTCGTGGGAGTGCTCGACCGAGTGGCATGGATCACGGATTCAAGGACCCGATCCTCTAGTTCATAAGATTTTTTTTCCCCGCAAAAAAAATTTCGCATTGTCGCGAAGTCGCGTAATTGGTCAACATTTGAAAGTTGGACACGAAACTATCAGTTTCGCATAGCAAATATGATCATATGAACTCGGAAATCGGATCCCTGGAACGCGTACGAATTTCTTTTCTGCATACGAACAGATTCGCAACAACAATGGTTGCGCTTCGTAATTAAGGTGATACGAAAGTGGTGACACAGAGGTCTCATTTATGAAACTTTTCTCCAGACTGGGTATACCAAATCGATTAAAACTTTACAATATAAATATGAAGGGTATAAAGAAGGTCCTAAAGCTCATGAAATTTCATTTTTGAAAAATTGATTCGTAGTCATTTTCAAAATTTGTTATTAAAAATGACATTTCATGAGTGTCAGGACCTTCCTTATAGCCTCCATATTCACGTTGTAAACTTCGAAACGATTCGGTATGCGCAATTCAGAGAAAAGTTTCATGAACAATCGACCCCTCGGATGCTACTTTCATATCCCTTTAAAGGGTTAAATCGGGCCGCGCAAAATTTCAATTGTTGCTCCTTGGTGCAGTCTTCGTTGCAGAACTCGTTACTCGACTATCGCGCACTGGGGAAGGCCTGCATCCGATAAAACGCGGTCTTCTAACGAGACCGATCGCGATTCGTTGCGGAAGCGATGGTGCCTAATGGGTTTATCCGCGTTGGGAGTGCAAATCGAGGAGATATGCAAATCGAGCCGATCGGCCACTTCCGTTCTTTTCCGGGACGGGACTCCCGATAAGAGATAGATCCTTTTTGCCGAGGGAGAAAACTTTGAGCGGTCGTGGACCCCTCGGCAGAGTTCCGCGCCAAATACAGGCGAGATTTATCGAGATCGCTTGGGAAGGGGTCCGGAACCAATCCCGCAGGATCGAGGATCTAGATCGAGCCGAACGTCAATTCTCCCTTCGATTCCGTCTATAACTGTACGAGCTTATTATTTATTATACATTCCGGTATGGAACGACCGCAATAAATCCGCGGTGCTCTTGACCCCGGGCTCGCTGGACCGAGACCGACATGCAAAAAGAGCAGAATGGGAGCAAAAAGAGCCCAGGAAATCGTGAAAGGGTCCCAACTCGGTGGGGACCATTTTTGAGAGTCTAAAGTAGCCAAATACCAATTATAAGAATTTCGCGCGTTTTCCTCGCCGCTGGCATAAAAATTCAACATGGCCGACCCGACTTTGCTGGGCCCTTACCTACGTTACCAATTCCCATGAATTAAATTTCTTTCAAGTCGGCATCTGTCGGGGAATCTGAGAATTATCTCCGTGTATCACGTAGACGACGTGTCTTGAGATGTGGATATTTTATGTAAAAATCTGCCGATCACCGTTAGTTCTGGATCGACGTTTATCCGGATCCATCCCGGTGCAGCGAAATACATTGGACCCAAATGCAATAAGATTACGTGTTATCATCGAGATCCTAGGTCTCCGTCACGGACGATTGCCCCCCGATGGAAAGTCTCTACCGTGAGATGCTATCCGACTCTTGGCAGGATGGTTTTCATTAAAAATAATGACATTACTTTGGAAGTAAGGGCGGGGTAAAATGGCCAGGGGCCTCCTGCCAGGGTTTTCGAAACGATCGGTTGCCAAGGATCGTGGATATGAAATCATGGACATAGGATATACGGACCCTGAACGCCTAATCACTCCTTTGATATCCTTGCGACTGTAATAAGATTAAAGGAGGACGAACAAAAGGCGATCCTTTCTCTCTTTCCCTCTTGCATTTTGGATAGCCTTGTCGCCATATTGCGCTGCGCAATTGTTTTGCAAAATCAATGAAAAAAAAGAAAGAAAAAGAAAAAAAAATGCATTTTAACACTTGAAATCATACGGAAATCAGCTGGAAATCGCAAGCAGAAATCATAGGAAATCGATGGAAATCACCGAAAACGCACAATATTAAGGCCGGTCGTCATTTCTCGCCGAATTGCATTGTTTATCATATGAAGTCAAAGGCAATCGGCTCTCAAAAAAGGAAATCATCTTTCTTGATTTCCGAGTGATCAGTCCCTCGGTTCCGCCCCTCCCCCCATTAATGGACGTCTCTTTCCAATTTTGAACCCCTCGACCCATGATCGATCCGTAATCACACGTAATTGACGTAATCGATCGCAATTACAAATCGCATTTTTCTCCGGGGTCACGCAATCGCGAGGGACACTCGACCATTGGCGATAATTGATGGAACTGGATGTCTCTATTTGCCGAGGCAATTTATAGCAATTATTCAGGGATTAACGTAATGCATAATGCAGATATGATGGATATCGCAGACGGCCTGGATGAGCACGACTCGTGCGCCTATGGAGGATAACGGTGTACATTAATTTTCCGGCCCGAGTTTGTACAATTGTTCGAATAAGTTATGCGACCGAGAGGCACGGTCATACGTTTCTGGATCCAGTTGGGGCGATCACTTTTCCAACTTGGTTGCAGAATGCGTGCTCGGAGCGTGTCCTCGAATCTGTCCCCCTGGAGGCGAGCCGGTATGCGGTAGCGACGAGGTGATCTACGCCTCGCAATGCGAGATGCGGAAGAAGATGTGCGGAAAAGGTGAGACCTGGTCAAAACGACCATTTGCCTTTAAGGCGATGTGAAAGTGCCGCGAAGAGGTCTCGTTTATGAAACTTTTCACCGAACTGAGTGTGCCAAATCGTTTCGAACTTCACAACATCAATATAGAGGCTACAAGGAAGGTCTTAACACTCGTGATATTTCATTTTTTATACAAAATTATTAAAATTTCTACGAATAAATTTAAAGAAGAAGAATAGAGATTTTACGAGTTTCAGGACCTTCCTTACACTTTCCAGATTTATAGTGTAAAGTCTGAATCGATTCAGTACACCCGGTCAGAGATGAGTTTCGTGAAACCTCCTTGACGCCACTTTCCCATCACCTTAACCCTTTTAGTGCCGGATAACGATATAACGTCGTTTTACAAGTACTAACGTCGGTACTAAAAGGGTTAAGGCGATATAAAAGGATCATTCTATATTTATAAAACGTAAAATATTTATAACACATTTCTCCAAACTACCAGGTATATAAGTTTAAATCCGCTGTTTGCTCATAAATTGCGTTAGTGAGCATATTAACCCTTAATGCTCCAAGTATGCCTTTCAAGCACCACCGATGTGCGGCGTTCTACTCCAAGTGTGCCTATATATGTATATATATAATTATCCTTTCATATCATCTTAATATCTTCGCGCCTGGACGACCAATTGGATTTTGAATAATTCTTTCTTTTCCGGGGGCTGCCGAATAAAAAGGGGTGACCGTGAGCACGGAGAAGACGGCGTGTCTGAGATCCTCCGGGAGCAAGTGCGAGCACCGGTGCCCCGGCGACCAGGACCCCGTCTGCGGGACGGACGGGCGGACCTACCTCAACAAGTGCATGCTCAGGGTGGAGATCTGCAGGGTGGGCATCGAGCTGTCCCACCTGGGTCCCTGCAACAACATCTCGGCCCATCGTGAGAACTGCCCCGTCGCCTGCGACTACGCGCCCCTCGACGGCCCGGTATGCGGAAGCGACGGCAACGTCTACAAGTCGACCTGCCAGATGAAGCTCCTCACCTGCGGGTAATGGATAGGACCTTCGTCTTCACCCTTGTCTCCGTTTCGAATCGTTTCTCGCCAAAATGCTCTTCGATCGCTGGTCTAGGATCTGGACCACTGAGACCCCCTTATCGAGTTCATTCGACCAACTTTCACATGCGAAATTGACAATTTTGAATACGACTTGGAAACGTTGACCAATTACGTGACTTTGCAACAGTGCGAAATTTTTCATGCGTATCATTCGTTTGAAAAAAAAAAAATCCTGACAAACTCGAGAATCGGGTCCCTGGTCCACTGAAACCCCATTCTCGAGTTCATTCGATCAACTTTCGCATGCGAAATTAACAATTTTTTATACGACTTTGAAACGTTGACCAATGACATGACTTCATGACAACGCGACATTTTTTCATGTGAATCTATTCATATGCAAAAAAAAAATCCGTTTGAACTCAAGGACCCCTGGAACACGACTCTCGAGTTCATACGATCGAATCTCCCATGCGAAATTAACAGCTTCGTATACGACTTTGAGATATTGACCAGAGACGCGATTTTTTAATAGTGCCACTTCTTTTTTTCTCTATGTCGAAATCATCCAAGTCGAGTCCTTAAGGAATTTGACGCGGCTCAATAGGCTCCCATCATGCGGAAATTAGTTGCAATTCAAGCGAGATGCCGACTTTCTCGCATCCCTCGATAACTCTAGCTGACCGTTTTATTTAATTGCAGGCAAGGCGTGGTGCGGACCAACAAGAAGCACTGCCAGACAACAAGACATTGCCGGGAGTCGTGCTGGCGAGGAGCCAAGCCGGCCTGCGGCAGCGACGGAATCCTTTATTCAAATACGTGCAAGATGCGAGCGAAAAATTGCGGGTAAAGGACACGGGGGCCTCGACCATGGGAAGATGGAATGTGCAGGGGGGCGAAAAAGGACATCAGGACTCGATCTCTGGGTCTTGTTTCGCGAGATGTCCTCCTTCGTGTCCCCTGAATGTCTTTCACTCCCAGAGTCAGAAAATTAAACGGTCAACTTTTAGGAAACACGTATTCGAGGTGCCGATGTCCTTCTGCGTATCTCGGGAGAGAACGGCCGGAAATGCGGCGAACGCCTGTCCCCTGGATTGCAAAAACGAGCCGGAAGTGCCAACCTGCGGCTCGGATGGGAACATATACCTGACCGAGTGCGAGATGAAAATGCTGAATTGCGGGTGAGCACTAACTGGAAATCCTGGATCCGCTCCCCGACGTGACAACGATGCGCTATTTAATCGCAAATGGCGTCTCGTTAGCATTTATTAGAATTATTCCTAGCCGTTGTTCATACCGACGTTATCGCGTCCCGTTAACAGGCAGTCGAGAAGGAAGGTCACGGTGATGGATTTCGAGAAATGCCGACCTAGGCTGACGAAGTGCATGAAACTGAGACAACGATGCGGAAACGAGGTGGATCCGGTGTGCGGAAGCGACGCGAACACGTACCCGAACCAGTGCAACCTGAACGTGGCGATTTGCCTGTAAGTCCGAAGGAAAAGTCGTGGAGAAGTTAAAAATAATTACAGGCGCTACCAAACGGAACGTACTTTCATCATGCCAAACATGGGTCCATGATGAGTTCTCATATATGAGAAATAAATATTTACTAAATCGAAGTGCCGAACTCTGACGTCAAGTATTCGGTGCTTTTCGCGCATGCTTTTAAATGTATTTGGCGTGAAACTCTACCGAGTTTCCTGATGGTTGGTTGGTTACGACGGCGCTTTTCAGCGCCTGTTTTGGCCTGCAGTACCCAATAAGACGCCTCAGCCAACTCAAACTGTAGTGTTTTCGTGTTGTTTTTTTTTTATTGTTTTCAAACTATTCTGTGTAGTACTCCTTTGTTTAGTTTATCGGGTTTGTCTACTTATTGTTGTATGAGCATGAGAGGCTAACAACTCTCCATGCAGATCATTTCGTCGTGTGGTGGCGCGGAGGTTACCAGGACGTCTCCCGCGTTCTTTATTTCTATATAGATTTTAATATGTTATTGTTTCGTCTTATTTTTTCACTTGAGTGCAGTTCCTTTAATCCACTGTTTTATTATGTTAGATGTTTTTTTTTAAACAAATGTCAGGTTGTTCAACGAATTTGTTCGGGGGACCCCGACGATCGCAATGGCGGACATCTTGCCGCCACCGCAATCGCCGGGACTTTCCGGAAAAAAAAATTTAGATTTAAGTCGAGGCAGCTAGTCATTGCTATTTTTCGACCTGTCCAGGAAGGGGATTCAATTGGCTCATGTTGGAGAATGTACAACCCTGAAGGAGACCGAGGACTGCCCCGAAGACTGCAGCGACGTCTTGGAGGAGCCCGTTTGCGGGAGCGATGGGAATGTCTATCGGTATGAAAAATCTTTCCCGAGAAGCGAGTCCATCTAATGCAATGCCACGCGTTAACTCGACCCTCCATCTCAGATCCCAGTGCCATCTGCGAAGAGAGACCTGCGGTCAAAGAGTGGTCCCGGTGCCCGCGCAACATTGTCGCACGACGGCGCTCTGCAACCAGGTTTGCAGCGGCGAGCGGCAATTTGTCTGCGGTTCGGACAACAAGCTCTACAGGAACGAGTGCGAGATGAAGAGAGATAACTGCGGGTAGGTCTTGCCGTTTTTTCCGATTTTTATTCTTATTTTCATCCCTCTTTCTACGAGCCAACCGCAGGTACCGCACTAACCACTCTACTCGAGAGTCATTAAGGTGATATGAAAGGGTCAGCCGTACATACATCTGAGAGGTCGTGAAAGAGGTGTACCGATTCGTTTCTAATTTCACCACGTGAACATGGAGGCCCTGAAGTAGGTTCTCAAACTCGTGAAATTTCATTTATCATAAGAAATTGATTTATTTATCATGGACTAGAACCAACGTGGCGTGGTCCGTGCGCGTTTTCGCTGTTTTGCGCCTCTTGGGGGCTTAGAATCGAAAGTGAAGAGTTTCAGGACCTTGCTCGAACAATTTAGAATACCGTAGAAATGGAATATTACGGAGTCAGATGGGAAAATATGGGAAATACTTTCAGTAACAATTGCAAGAGAATATTGACTTGTCCCCTGGCTAACGGGTCTTGTTGAAGCAAAAAATTAGTTGCAGCTAAACGTCACAGATGGCGCCGCTAGTCCGTTCGAATATAAACAGTTCACGGGATTTCGACAGTTTTACATCGATTTCTTTATCATTACTTTATCGAAATGACATATGGAACGCTTCACTCCGTATAATTATCACCATAGACTGTAAAAGACATCAACATAAATATAAATCTCGGTAACGTGACGCGCAAGCTTATGTTACCACTTGAGTATCCAAAATGGCGTTACCACCAAAACGGGTGTTTTATTTTATCGACGTCGATGAAATTCCTCGGCACCTTTTGTATCACCTTAAAGCAGCGTGAGTGGATATAACCTTGTGACGAAATTTTAGGAAACACGTCTACGTGGTCCCGATGAAGCGCTGCGTCCAAGGGTTCCTGTTCCGCGGGTGCCAAAAGATATGTCCACCCTATTACGACCCGGTCTGCGGGACCGACGGGATGACCTACAGCAACGAGTGTTTCCTCGAGATCGAGAACTGCCGCAGCCGGAGCCTGGTGACGAAAAAGTACCACGGGATCTGCGGCCAGCCGACGGAGGAGCCGAAGAATTACCTGTACTAAACGGGAGATCCAGGGTGACCTAGGGATCTTCACCGTGGATCCAGACCAAGATCGGCTTGCTAAGCGGGTCGATCATCGAGAACGTCGAACGAAACTCATCGGGAATGCCTCGTCTCGCCACGAAGAATTCTGGGAAACTCGCCTCGAAATCGCTTGTCCAGCTTTCCGGCCTTTTTCGCGCGGACCTTGCTAAATTTCGCTCCGAGGAAAGCTACAAGAATCGGACGTTCACCCTCTTTCTAATGTTCTGTGCCACTTTCTCGGGTTTTCGGGGGGGATGTTTGGGCCGGGGCCCGCCCAGCACCTAATAGTAAGGTATGATGCCTACTTGCCGAGTCGAAGGAGGGAAATCTGGAAAAGAGCTTCGTTTCGCCCGAAGTTTCTCGATTTCCCGACCTCGAGGGGGGACCCGAAGCTCGTTCTTCATCGGTCTTCTGTGACCTCTACACGAGGGTATTTTTCTACCATTTCTTTTTCATTTCTCTTTCGAGCGCTCGCGTCCTCCCTATCCAGACTCTACGAAAATCATTTTTATCCTTTCTCGTCTGCGTAGCGTAGCGACTTTTCAAGGGAGGCAGGAATTATCTATTGCGAATATAAGGAAGAACGAACGAGGGAAGGTCGCTCTATTTTGTGCCAAGTTAGACGAAGGATCATTAAACAGAGACGATATCACCAATCGCTTAGCGTGGGCCTTCTACGTTTTTACATAACACGTGACGGTAGATATATTATTTATTGTAGCTAAGTTCATAGCCGTTTGTATTAGTTATACTGCGCTCCTTTATGCTTCCCTACCATCTATACGATTAGTCGGACTTTACGTTAGGTCTTGTCAAGAGACCCGTTTGAACTGTATTACATTCCTCGAGGAAATATCGCCATGTACTCTCCTTTGTGATGTGTGTTCATGTTACGATTATCATACCGTTAATTTATTATCAAACACGTGAATGAATCCTCTTCCATTTTTTTTTTACCGTAACTAACATTGTATACGCTTGTCAATAATAAAAGAAACGTACTTCATAGTTTGCATTTCTGATTATTTCCGTCTACCGAAAAGATTTCCAGCATTAGCGAAACGTGGTAAAGCCGAAACAAGTTGAAACAAGCTGAGATGATCTGACACAAATCACAATCAACATCCCCTTCTTGAGTTGGGCAAGTAAAATACCGTAGGTAATTTTTGTGGTTATGTTACAACAGAGAGAAGATGAGAGCAGAGATGAGTTGGGAGATTGTTCACGGGCAGGGTGGCGCGATCGCATCGTGTGCTGCCATCTGGTTTCGTACGATAGCTTTCACCGTTTTTTGCCCCCAAGGGCGGCGCAACAAATTTCTGGTAGGGGATCGCGCACACGCGATGGCGGTGCCATCTACCAGTCATAGTTGGCGGCTCACGTACCCATGACGGTAATACCATGCGGCAGTTGACACCACCGTCACCGGCTTACCTACGCTTACCGAACTGCACGCTTTTGATGGTAAGGGAAAAACACTCGTGGCGCCCTCTTTACTCTAAATACATTGTTGCTCCGAAGTCGACGCGATACGGAGCTTTGGGGCACGCGTGGATGTCACGTACGGAACTCGCATGCAGCGAATCTGTACGAGTGCGATCGTGCCTAGAAATCTTCGCGCGTCCCAACCAGCCAAGCACCAAGCTACGGGACGTGGCGTTGAGCATGAGTGCGTTCGGCGCTACACTCATAACGAGTATGCGTGAGAGCCGAATGCAGCGAAAAATCCTCCCTAGCCGCGGATATAAGCCGAGCCATTTTGCGTATGATTTTTACATTTACTTACTAGCGTTATCGAGCGTTCTTCGACCGTTTTCAGAGTGTTTTCGACCGTTATCGACCATTTTTCGAGTGTTTTTGAGCGTTATCAAGTCCCGTAGAGTCCCGTATAGTCCCGTAGTGT